GGGAGCTATATGAAAACTTGGACCAAGAAGGACAATTTTTTGCACGGTGGTTATGTATCCACTAAGATCTTCAAATACAAATTTCTGATCGAATCGATTCAATAAGATGCACAAGAACCCTAAAATCGGAAAATACCTCAATGGGAGCTATATGAAAAAATGGAAGCAGAACGACAATTTTTTGCATGTAGGTCATTTGTCCATTAAGCCTTCCAAATACCGAATAGTCACGAACCCTAAAATAGGAAAAATACCCTAATGGGAGCTATACGAAACATCTTTGGCCCCACCGTCGGAAAATTCAGCTTTCATGAAGAAACATGACTTCGCGGCAGCAAAAAACATGGTAGTTAGCAGCACCAGATTCTAGCATCTCGATATACACAAGGCCACCTGGATTTGTCCCCATAAAGCAACGAGAAATCAAATTGATCATGTTGTGATAGACGGAAGGTATTCATCCAGTGTATTAGACGTTCGATCGATCTGGGGAGCGAATATCGATTTGGATCATTATCTTGTGGCAGCCAAGGCTCGTCTCGTCTTAATGTTGCACCAAAGGTGCGATCTAACACAACACGGAAACTCGACGTCGAAAAGCTACAAACATAACAGGTAGTAGGCCTCGGCTACTAAGTTTACCCACCTGCTTGACGAAAGCACCCCTTGTCCCGATAATAGTATAGAAGCACAGTGACAGAGAATTGCCCACTCCCTACAAACTGCAGCAAAAGCAATACTTGGGTACCAGAGACTAACATCAAGAAACCAGTGGTGCGATCAGAAGTGTCGTAATGCTACTGATATGAAAAACGCAGCGTATAGACCAACCGTGAGCGTGAGCAAATCGATATGTACAGGAGTCAGAATGAAGTCCGAAAATTCTACCAACGGGTAAAACAGCGCAAGCAGCAGATGAAGCAGCTCTTGGAGTGTTTGAGAGAAAAATTCTCCGAAATATCTATGGGCCGATCTGCGTTGACAGTGAATATCAGCGTCGAATGAACCGTGAGTTGTACCCAGCTATTCTCGGACATCGACATTGTTAGAAGTATTGAGATGCAGCGACTATACGTAGGCTAGGTCATGTTGTGAGAATGGATTAATGGATTCTCCAGCCCAGAAGGCATATAAAAGCGAACCAGCTGATGGTTCACCCAGAAGGGGAAGGCCACAAATTAGAACCCCTTGTGGTAGACCCCAGAAAATATTTTTAATAAATCCACGCCTTGTTGTGGACCTCATGAACATAGGACCTCCTTAAAATATTTTTAATATAACCACGCCTTGTGGTGGACCTCATGAACATAGGACCTCCTTAAAATATTTTTAATATAACCACGCCTTGTGGTGGACCTCATGAACATAGGACCTCCTTAAAATATTTTTAATAAATCCACGCCTTGTGGTGGACCTCATGAACATAGGACCTCCTTAAAATATTTTTAATATAACCACGCCTTGTGGTGGACCTCATGAACATAGGACCTCCTTAAAATATTTTTAATAAATCCACGCCTTATTTAGGACCTCAAGAGCATATTTTAAATCAATCCGCACCTTTCATATTTTCTAGATTTTTTTCAAAATTGTTTATTTTTATTGGGTCTTGATTTTTATTGCCATTTTCTTTCTGTTCTGACAAAGACGATAAAAAATATTTTTAGAAGTGATTTTTGTTGTGCGGGAATATTATGGCCCTGTTGTTTTGACTGCGACATTTCGGGGGAACATTTCAAAATTTTTGACGTATCGCCTAATCATTGGGTCTTGTAGATAATAATGTGGACTATCTCATGGTGAAAATATTTCCAAAAACAACGAAATAAATATTTTAATCGCAAATAAGTAACTATCTAAGTAGTAGTAGGAGGGCGATAATGCCCCGATGTTGATCCAACGACCGATCAATGGCCATACTGGCATTGAGTGTCCAAGTTTTTTCGTTTTTTTGGAGAGGCTAGTAAATAAATATGGGTGCCATCAGTTGTATATGGCTAGTCGATAACTTGTCATCATTAACATAAGCAAAAGCGAAGGAATCGGAAAGTACCCCAAAATCTGCAGAAATATGAAAGGTGTGTGTGTGTGTGTGCAAACAGCAAAAAAGGAATTAAACATAAATTTGAAAATATGTGTGTGTGCATGTGTGTGAACGATTGAAAACCCTTCTAACCGGAAGTAAAAATGTTGTAATTATCTTAGGCCAAATTCCGCAACAATATCGCAACCTCCCAAAAATAAAATCGAACCGAACATTTCTCCCAATTTTTTTTTTTTTTTTTTGTTATTAAAGTTTTATCTGCAATTCCATGTTAGCTGCGGATTCGTTCGATAATAACCAAACTACCCTACAAATAGTATCTCCAGCTAAGATATTATAGCCCACCCCGTTAAAGCCGTTATCTATTTAATTATTTCTATGTCATGTTAAACCTGCAATTCGAAAAAGATTTCCAAAATTCCGATTCTTTTATTATCGCTCACCTTCGAAAAAAAATGCAGAACAAATTTTCGGTATTTAAGTCATGTGACAGATGACAGTAACTATCACAAATCGTTGGCAATCCGCGGACTAAGTGGTTTAGTTTTGAAAAATTAAAAATCGTCAATAATTCGTTTTTCGGTGACCAGGATCATTAAGGCTAAAATGCAAGGTGTGTAAATAACAAAAACAACAACAACGATATAAAAAAAATTATACAAAGACCGAAGTTCATTGGGGAGGATACCATAGCATTACCAATTTTGGAGATCTCAGCAATAAAAGTCGCGGAACCTCATTTCACCTGGGGATGAAAAAAAATCGGTATTTTTTTCCATAGAAAAAAATCGCATCGGGGCCTTTTTTCTAAGAAAAAAATTCGCGGCTATACCTCGGTTTTCACCTGAGTTCAGTATTTTTTTTTTAAGAAAAAAATTCGCTGCTAAACCTCGGTTTTCACCAGAATTCGATATTTTTTTCTAAGAAAAAAATCGCGGCTGAACCTCACTTGAGATCGGTTTTTTTTCTACAGAATAAAAATGTGTGAGCGGCATCTGTTCCCATCTGAGATCTGTTTTTTTTCTATAGACAGAAAAATTCACGTCGGGACCTCATCTGAGTTCGGTATTTTTTATATATAAAAAAATTGCGTCGGGACCTCAGTTCTCACCTGAGTTCGTTATTTTTTTATATAAAAAATCGCGTCAGGACCTCAGTTCTCACCTGAAGTCACTACTTTTTTTCTATAGAAAAAAAATCATGTCGGGACCTCAGTTCTCATCTGAGATCGATGTTTTTTTTCTAAGAAAAAAAAATCGCAGCTAGACCTCGGTTTTCACCTGGAGATCTCAGCAACAAAAGTCGCTCAACCTCAGTTCACCTGGGGATGATATATTTTTTCTATAGAAAAAATCGCGTCGGGACCTCTATTTGGTATATTTTCTATAGTAAAAATTGCGTCGGAAGTTCAGTTCACGTCGGGACCTCAGTTCTCATCTGAGATCGATGTTTTTTTTTTTCTAAGAAAAAATTCGCGGCTAGACCTCGGTTTTCACCTGGAGATCTCAGCAACAAAAGTCGTGGAACCTCAATTCACCTGTTGATGACATATTTTTTCTATAGAAACAAAATCGCATTGGGACCTCAATTTGGTATTTTTTTCTATAGAAAAAATCCCGTCGGGAGTTCAGTTCACGTCGGGACCTCAGTTCTCAGTTCTCATTTGCATTCGATATTTTTTCTAAAAAAAATTCGCGGCTAGACCTCGGTTCTCACCTGAGATCGGTAATTTTTTTCTATAAAAACAAAATTGGTGAGCGGCATCAGTTCCCGTCTGAGTTTGGTATTTTTTCTATAAAAAAATAATTCGAAGACCTCAGTTCATTGAGGAGGATACCTTAGCAATTTTCCCTACACAAATTTTGGAGATCTCAGCAATAAAAGTCGCGGAATCGAAGTTCACCTGGAGATGACATATTTTTTCAATAGGAAAAAATCTCATCGGAACCTCAATTTGGTCATTTTTTTCTAAAGAAAAAAATCGCGTCGGGAGCTCTGTTCTCTCCTAAAGTCGGATTTTTTTCTAAACAATCACGTCGGGACCTAGACTTCGGTTCTCACCTGAGATCGGTAATTTTTTCTAAAGAAAAAAATCGCGTCAGGACCTCAGTTATCTCCTAAAGTCGGAATTTTTTTTAAAAAAAATTCACGTCGGGACCTCAGTTCTCATCTGAGATCGATGTAATTTTTTTTCTAAGAAAAAAAAAATCGCGGCTAGACCTCGGTTCTCACCTGAGATCGGCATTTTTTTCCATAAACAGAAAAAATCGCATCGGGACCTTATTTTTCATCTGAAGTTGGTATTTTTTTCAACTGTGATCAGTATTTTTTCTCAGAAAAAAATTCACTGCTAGACTTCGGTTTTAATCTGAGGTCAATTTTTTCCTATAGAAGAAATCGACGAGGGACCTCAATTCTCACCTGAAGTCGGTATTCTTTTCTGTAGAAAAAAATTCACGTCGGGGCCTCGGTTCTCAACTGAGGTCAATTCTCATCTGAGATCGGTATTTTTTCTATAAATAAAATTTGTCTCGGGACCTCAGTTCTCACCTGAGGTCGGTATTTTTTTTTTATATTCCGCCAGGACCTCTGTTCAGTATTTTTTTTTCTGCAGAAAAAAAATCGCGTTGGGACCTCAGCTCTTAACTGAGACCGATATTTTTTTCTATAGAAAAATATTCGCGTCGAAGCCTCAGTTCTCAGCTGAGATCGGTATATCTACAAAAATTGTTTTTTTTTTTTTTTGGTAAAAAAGATTTTAATTTTTTGTAGAGACCTCACCTGAGGTCGATATTCTCACCTCAGGTCGTAATTCTTTTCTCTTAAACAAAAAAGAAAACACCTTTCGAAATTTTATTTCCCCTCAACTTATTCCTCTTCTCCTCCATCCTGTTCTTTCTTCCAGGTTCTAAAATGGCCTCAGGTCTATGCCTGATATTTATCAGCACAATTGCCCTACAAATGCAATTTGCCTCGGCTGCCTATTCCATGGCCGAGACATGTTTGTACTACGGCGAAGGCTATATTGCCGATCCGGCTAAGTGCAACGGTTGGGGTTATTGCAGTGGCGGTGAATTAATTGCCCAAGGTGATTGCCCCGGCACCTATTTGTACAATTCGAAGACAGGCCAATGCGATTATCCCGACAAGGTGGAATGCGCCAGCAAATTGGAGAGTACCTGCAGTACTGTCACCTCACCCATCTATGTTGCCGATCCCGATGACTGCACCAAGGCCTGCTACTGCAACGATGGCAAATACAAATGTGAAAAGTGTCCCGAATATCAGGTATTCAATCCCACAACCAGATCATGCGTCTACTCCAGCCAATATGCCTGTCCGGCCGATTCGATTTGTCGTCTAGTGCCCAACGGCAAATGGGTATCGGATCCAGATGCCTGCGGTAATTACATTACATGTGTGGACGGCAGTGGAACTAGCCAGAAATGCCCCAATGATCTATTTTACAATCAGTTCACGAATACATGTTCGTCCACGGACATTTGTGCCCCAAGTACCAATCCCCCAACAACTGTGTCAGCTGGTCCTGGTGTTGATAAGAATTTACCCGATAGTACAACCGCCTGTGCTAAAAATCCCGGCACCAAAGAACCCTTCTTTGTTTCGGATGGACAAACTTGTATGGGTTTCTATTCGTGTGAAACAGTCGGTGCCGAGACGGGTGTTTGGGCCAAGTGTCCAATGGGCACCCATTTCGATGAGGCCAATCAAGCCTGTGTTACCCCCTATACCGTTGACTGTCCATACGATCGTTGCGGCAATATTAATCAGAACTTTGTTTCGGTTTTGGGCTGTCAAGATTACTACTACTGTATCAACCAGACTAAACAACCAGGAATGGGTGGCAACTGTAAGACCAACAATGCCAACTATCCATACTTCAGTGAAGTACAAAATGCCTGTGTCAATGCCGATCCCGGATATGCTATTTGCAAAGCCACCCCTCCCTCACCAGTGGGTAACTAAGAAAAGAGATATATAGAAGCAGAAGGTGAAACAATTTTTTTTCCAAAAATGAAATAATTCAATAAAAAGAGAATCAATTTGAAATTGTAATACAACAAAAAAAAACTAACCGGTGTTATTTTTTGTGAACGGGTGGGGCGTATTAGTAGTGTCATAACTTATACGACCTGGTGGTCACACCTTACTATGTGTGTTAGGACTCATTTTGTTATGCTTTTTTCATTGTTAAATATTATATCTACTGGTTCCTTGTGTTTGAGGGCCCATTGTGAAATTTCATGGAGCAGATTTTTTCCATTGATATCACCCCGCTAAAAGGTTGGGGTGAGGGGGAATTTAATGAAAACTCAAATAGTGCACAAAATTTCAACCATTACATATTTGCTTAATTTATTGCCAATATTTGAAGGATATATAATAGAGATAGCGATTTCTTGTATTCGGGAACCCATAGTGAAATTTGGTGGAGAATATTTTTTACATTCACATCGATCCGCTAAAATGAGACGGTGGGGCTAAAATTGCCACATAAGTGAAGAATGTACAAACCGTTAACCAAAAACTTGTGTACCTAAATTTTAACCCATTTTTCATTATTAAATATTATATTTACCGATTTCTTGTGTTCGGGAACCCATAGTGAAATTTTGTGGAGAATATTTTTTCTATAGACATTACCCCCCTAAAAGATAGGAGTGAGGGGGAATTTGGTAAAAACTGAAAAATTGGACAAAATTTCAACCATAACATATTTGCCTAATTTGTTGCACATATTTGATGGATATATAATAGAGATACGGATTTCTTGTGCAGGGTAACCCATAGTAGAATTTGATGGAGAATATTTTTTTCATTGACATTACCCTTGGCGAGGATCCCGCTAAAATAAAGCAGTGAGGGGAAAATTTGATAAAAATTTAAAAATTGTGCAAAATTTCATACAAAAAATTGTACGCAAATTTGTTGGTCATATCTCATTGAGATATGTTACAGATACCGATTTCTTTTGTTCGGGGACCTACAGTGAAATTTAATGGAGAACATTTTTTGCATTGACATTATCCCCCTAGAAGATAGGGTTGAGGGGTGATTTTTTAAAAACCGAAAAATTTGACCAATTTTCGACCATAACATATTTGCCTAATTTGTTGCTGATATTTGATGGATATATAATAGAGATAAGGATTTCTTGTGCAGGGTAACCCATAGTGGAATTTGATAGAGAATATTTTTTTCATTGGCATCGATCCGCTAGAATGAAGCAGTGGGGCTAATTAGACAAATAATTGAAGAATGCACAAATTTTTAACTAACAACTTTTGTACCTAAACTTTTGCTTATATTTCATTATTAAATGTTAGTAGTGCCGATTTCTTATGTCCGGGAACCCATAGTGAAATTTGATGGAGTAGATTTTTTGTCCATTGCGAGGATCCCGCTTAAATAAAGCAGTGAGGGGGAAAATTGATAACAATTTGAAAATTGTGCAAAATGTCGCCGAAAATATTTTAAGCAAATTTGCTGGCCATATTTCATTGAGATATGTTACAGATACCGATTTCTTTTGTTCGGGGACCTACAGTGAAATTTAATGGAGAACATTTTTTGCATTGACATCAATCCGCTAAAATCAAGCTATGGGAAGGAATTCGATAATATTTGCAAAATTACACATAATTTCGCTAAAATGTGTTGTTAGCTAATTTGTTGGCCATATTTCATGGATATATATTACAGCTACCGATGTTTCATATTCACAGACCCACAATGAAATTTGATGGAGAATACTTTTTCCATTGGGAGGATCCCGCTAAAATAAAGCGGTGAGGGGTAACATGGCAATAATTGAAAAAATTTACATAATTTCGATCAAATTAATTGTTAGCTAATTTGTTGGCCATATTTCATGGATATATATTACAGCTACCGATTTCTCATATTTACGGGCCCATGATGAAAATTGATGGAGAATATTTTTTCCATGGGGAGGATCCCGCAAAACTGAAGCGGTAGGGGTAAATTTGCTGAATTATCAAAAAATATACAAAATTTCCATTAAAGACTCTTTACCGAATTTGTTACCCATATTTCATGGATATTTATTATAGCTAGCAGTTTCTCATGTTCGGAAACCCATAGTGAAATTTAATATAGAATATTTTTTCCATTGAGACTTCTACGCTAAAATCCAGTATTGTGCCGGAATTCGGCAATAATTTGGAAAAACTGGTATAGTTTCGCTCAAAATAGTTTTTACTTACTTTGATGGCCATCAAATTAATTGAGATATATTATAGCTAGCGAATTCTCATGATCTGGAACCTATAGTGAAATTTTATGGAGCAGATTTTTTCCATTACCATCAACCCGCTAAAATGAACCCGTTGATGGGAAAATTCATAATAATGCGAAAATTGTTCAAAAATTCAACCAAAAAGTCACCTAAAAAAGCAAAAAGTTTTAAGCTAATTTGTTGGGCATATTTCATGGATATATATTGAAGCTAGCGATTTTTCACATTCACGGACCCATAGTGAAATTTGATGTAGAATATTTTATTCATTGACATAGATCCGCTAAAATGAACCGGTGTGGGCAAATTTGCTGAATAATCGAAAAATACACAAAATGTCGCCCGAATGGCGTTTAGCTACGTTGTTGCACATATTTCATGGATATATATTAAAGCTAGCGATTTCTCACATTCACGGACCCATAATGAAATTTGGCGTAGAATATTTTTTTCATTGACATAGACCCGCTAAAATTAACCGGTATGGGTAAATTTGCTGAATAATCGAAAAATACACAAAATTTGGCCCGAAAAATGTTTACCTACTTTGTTGCATATATTTCATGGATATATATTAAAGCTAGCGATTTCTCATATTCACGGACCCATAATGAAATTTTATGGAGAATATTTTTTTCATTGACATAGAACCGCTAAAATGAACCGGTATGGGTAAAATTGCTGAATAATCGAAAAGTACACAAAATTTCGCCCGAAAGTTGTTTACCTACTTTGTTGCATATATTTCATGGATATATATTAAGGCTACCGATTTCTCATATTCACGGACCCATAGTGAAATTTTCTCTAGAATATTTTTTCCATTAACACTAACCCGCTAAAAGCAGGCAGTAGCGGTTATGTTGCGAAATAATCGAAATATACACAAAATTTCGACTAACAACTATTTAACCCATTTTATTGACCATATTTCATGGATATATATTATAGCTAGCGATTTCTTGTCTTCGGAGACCCATAATGGAATTTGATGAAGAATATTTTTTTCATTGGTAGTAACCCTCTAAAATGAAGCAGAAAGCCGGAATTGGTCAACAAACGAAACCCTTTGCTTTAATTATTTTTCAGAAGTACTCCACTGCGTATTAGTGCTGTCGTGACGTATACGCCCCTTATAAAGAAATAATTAAATACACAATATATGCAAATGAAATTTATTATTTTTTATCTTTTCTTGGAATTTATATTTCATATTTTATATTTTTTTACTAATAAATTTTTTAAGTTAATTTAAAATATACTTAACTATATGGAATTTTCTCGTAGCGTTATTCCACTGCAAACTTTTTATTTAAAACTAATATTTTTTAGTTCAGTTATGTTCTGGTAATGATTTTTTTATTTTTATTTTCAAGAGCAAACAATCACTATCTAAGTGATTTTTTGGGGGAATTTTGTTATTGTTGTTGTTGTTGGTCTCTTTTGTTACCATTATCTATTTGCTGAGGTCGATTAATTATTATTTCAACAGTAGCATTGATAGTATAAGTGTGTGTATTTTAGTTCGTCTTCAGTTTCAGTGAGATTCCACGAAATGGTGAACGCAAACACACATACACACCTATGTATAGATCAATGCCACCTGATATGCATAGGTGTATCTGAGGCAATACATTTTTTTAATTTTCAGTTGAAATTCATTCATGTGCGCGTAAAAAAAATTGGGGAAAAAATTATCACAACATTTTGATCATTTGAAAGTAATCAACGCCAATGGAAGTTAGAATTGAATTGAAATTTGTTTCATAGTAATAATATTTTTTTTCGAAATTCAAATTTAATTAAATTATTGTGAAATTTAAAGCAAAATTTAAAGATATCTATTATTTGTTTATTAAGTGATTTTGTCGGAAATCTTGGTTACTTAATTTATTAGCCATATTTCAGGGGTATATATTATTTGTAGCGATTTCATGTGTTCGGAGAGTCATAGTGAAATTTGATGGGGAATATTTTTTCCATTCATTGTAAAGCGCTAAAATGTGGTAGTGATGGGGAAAATGCCAGCGAATTGGAAATCGTCAAAAATAGTCTAATATTTGATTTCACTTAATTTGTTGCCCATATTTTGGGGATATTTATTATACTTACCGATTTCTGATGTTCGGCGACCCATAGTAAAATTTAGTGGAGAATATTTTTGTTTTTAATAGTAAACCGCTGGAAGGCAGCAGAGAGGGGAAAATTGAATAATTTAGAAAATGTCTCAAATTTACTTTCTAAAAATTATTTACCTAACTTCTTACCCAGCGGGGAGGGGCAAATGGACAATAATTTGAGTAAAGTACAAAATTTCGACACATAAAATGTTTTCCTATTTCTGACCCATATTTTATGGATATATATTATAGCTACCGATTTCTTCTGTTCGGAGACCCATGGTGGAATTTTATATGGTATATTTTTTCCATTAGGGGTACCTCTCTAGAATGAAGCAGTAAGGGAGAAATTAGTTATAATTTGAATAATGTACCAAATTTGGCTCATATTTCACATATTTCTTAAATTCCTACGACGATTCCATTGATAATTATAATAGCTACCGATTTCTTATGTTCGGAGACCTATGGTGGAATTTTATGGGGTATATTTTTTCCATTGGGGTTACCACTCTAAAATGAAGCAGGAATAGGGAAATTGCTCATAATTTGAATAATATGCCAAATTTCGCCCAAAACTTACTTTCCTAATTTCGTACCATTATTTTTATGACATATATTATAGCCACCGATTTCTTCTGTTCAGAGACCCATAGTGGAATTTTATGGCGTATATTTTTTCCATTGAGGGTACCCCTCTAGAATGAAGTAGGGTTAGGGCAATTGCTAACGATTTGACTAATACACCAAATTTCGTCCAAAAACATATTTATTTATTTTTTTCTTACCCATATTTCATAAATATATAGCATAGCTACCGATTTCTGATGTTCGATGACCCATAGTGGAATTGAATTAGGAACATTTTTCCTATTGGGGGTACCCCTCTTAAATGAAGCTGTATGGGGAAACTGATTAGAATTTGAAAAATATTCAATTTTTTATTCAAAAACAAATACAGTTAATTTCCTACCCATATATTATTGATATATACTTTAGCTACCGATTTCTTCTGTTCGGTGACCCATAGTGGAATTTTCTAGGCTATATTTCTTCCCTTGGGGGTACCCCTTCAAAATGAAGCAGGGAGGGGAAAATTGATAATAATTTATACAATGTACCAAATTTCGCCCAAAAAACACTTTAATAATTTATAACCTATATTTAATCGATATATATTATAGCTACCGATTTCATATGTTCGGTGACCCATAGTGGAATTCGATGAAGAATATTTTTTCCATTAGCGATACCCCTATAAATTGAAGCTGTAGGAGGGAAATTGGCAATTATTTAAAAAGTGTACAAAATCTCTACCAAATATCACTTTCCTAACTTCTTACTCTCATTTGATATATATATATATAATAGCTTTCAATTTTTCCGGGTCGGGAACCCATAGTGAAATTTTGTGTAGACTACCTTTTTCATTCGCACCACCCCTCGGCGGCGAAGTATAGAGGGTGAAATTGGCCAAAAATCCAAAAATTATTTATAATTGCTACTAATAAAATATTTTAGCGATTTTGTTACCCCTATTTTATGGGTATATATTATACCTACCGATTTTTTATATTCCAAGGCCCATAGTGGAATTTGATAAGGAATGTAACCCTCTAAAATAAAGCTGTGTGCAGAATTTCGCATCATTTTTTGAAAAATGTAAAAAAATCAATTCAAAAATTTTGTCATTATTTAAGAAAGTGTATAGGCCTATTTCCCCGATATATATTATATATACCGATTTTTGTTGTTCCATACTTTCATTGACGGATATCGTGAAAAATGTCATCGAGTAGACAAAATTTGCATTGATTGAAATTGCCAAAAAAACCAACAAGTTTTTTTAATTGCCCTTGAAAAATAGTTTACCGATTTTTTACCCCCATTTTATGGGTATATATTATATCTACGGATTTTTAACATTCCAGGACCCATAGTGGAATTTGATAGGGAATAAATTTTCCATGGGCCGCAACCCCCTAAAATAAAGCTGTGTGCAGAATTTCGTATCATTTTTGAAAAATGTAAAAAAAATCTGAACCCAAAAATTTTGCCATTTTTTGTCAAATTTGTTACGTAAATTTCCCCGATATATATTATATATACCGATTTTTGATATTCGGAGATCCATAGTGAAATTTGATGAAAAATATTTTTTTCATTGACAGCTGTCACCAAAAATACCATCTAGTAGAAGAAATTGGCATTGATTGAAATTGCCAAAAAAAACAAAAAGTATATTTAATTGCCCTTGAAAAATAGTTTATCGAATTTTTACCTCTATTTTATGGGTATATATTATATCTACCGATTTCTTATATTCCAAGACCCATAGTAGAATTTGATAAGAAATAAATTTGCTATTGGCCGCAACCCTCTATAATAAAGCTATGTGCAGAATTTCGCATAATTTTTTGAAAAATTTTAAAAATTTCAACCCAACAATTTTGACAGTTTTTTCCAAATTTTATAGGCTCATTTCCTCGATATATATTATATATACCGATTTGTGATGGAGACCCATTGTAAAATTTGATGAAGAATATTTTTCCCACTGACGGTTATCGCGAAAAATTCCATCGAGAAGACGAAATTGGCATTGATTGAAATTGCCAAAACCAAAAAGTTTGTTTAATTGCTATTGAAAAATAATTTACCGATTTTTACCCCTATTTTATGGGTATATATTATATCTACGGATTTTTAACATTCCAGGACCCATAGTGGAATTTGATAAGGAATAAATTTTCCATTGGCTGCAACCCTCTTAAATAAAGCTATATGCAGAATTTCGCCTCATTTCTGAAAAATGTAAAAAATTTCTAACCTAAAATTTTGCCATTATTTTCCTATTTTGTTAGGCACATTTCCCCGATATATATTATATATACCGATTTTTGGTGTTCGGAGACCCATAGTGAAATTTGATGAAAAATATGTTTTCCATTGACAGCTATCACCAAAAATGTCATCCAGTACTAGAAAATGGCATCCATTCAAAAACTGACAAGTTTAATCCGTTTTTTAACTTTTATTCAAAAAGGGTTCGGAAGAACCTTTTCCGGGGCACATTAGAGTGTCAACATATTGTACAAAAATATTCCCCATTATGTTTTTACCAATATTACCGAACATTTTCAGTGACTAAAATATCAGATGCGTCGGATTTTTCTGCTGAAAAAATATTTTTTTTTTGTTTCCCAGTGTTTCGTTTCTTATCTTTTTGCCTAGAAGTCAATCGAACCTCCTGGCTTCCTAGCAAGTCGATATCAGATACAACCTCTTTTCGGTAAATGACTTCTTTGGTAATTTCCAGTAAAACAACTCCTCCAAAACAAAAATCAACATACCACAAACATGTTTATGTCACAATCGAACAGATCTTCAATGTCGATCAATTGATATGAGTTGAACAAAAAGAAACATGATGAGAAATGAAAAAAATTTCCCCCAAAAATCACTTATCTTGGAGCCGAAATACCCCAGGGCCAATGATAAGAATGGAAAAAAATCTTTGCTGGTGATGGTGATGATGACAAAGATGCGGCAAAGCTTTTTTGCATATTTATAGGGACCGTGGCATAGCATCGAAGCATCAGTCTGCAATCATCAATAACACAGACCAGAATCAGAACCAGAAAAAGACAAAATTTCCCAATAACAACAACAACATAGCTGAAGGAAATTAAGGAATAATGCATAAAGGTATGGTAGTGGAAGAAAAAAATTCTCAAGGTCCCTCTCTAATTTAAAAAAAAATTTTTTGTTGTCTTTCCCTTTCAGTTGAATTACTGTGTGTGGTCTCATTGGCCCTCTTTGGCCTTGGTTATGCCAAAACGGTGACCAAAGACATCCAAACACCCAGTGTTGAAGAACTTTGCTCCCTGTTGCCGGGTGCCACCATATTACGTCCCAATACCTGTACCAATTGGATTAGATGCCCAGCTTCGATGGAAACCGAGGAATTGGAAGAAGGTTCCTGTGTCAATGGCCTATACTTCAATAAGGATATGGGTTCTTGCGTCTACAAGGATGAAATGGTCTGCCCCTATGAATATACCGCTCCCGCCAAGGTTGAACGTTGTAATGCCAAAAATGAAGGTTCCTTCCTGCCCGATGAGGACAACTGCAGCGGTTATGTCTACTGTAAGAATGGTGCTGAAATCAAGGCCAATTGCCCCGCTCACATGGTATTCCATCCCACCAAATTGGAATGTGTCTATGGCTCACAGTATACCTGCCCCGAACCCAAACCCAAAGATGAAAAGAAAACCCATCCCGTCTGTTTGTCTCTGCCCAATGATGTCTTCTTTGCCGATAAAGATGATTGCACCAAATACAGTCATTGTCTCGATGGTAGCCTTACTTCGCACTCCTGCGGTGAAGAGCAAGCCTGGGATCATTTGAAGGGTACATGTGTGCCCATTGCTGATGTTGTCTGTATGCCAACGGCCAAAAAACCCGAACCTGAAAATCGTGTCTGTATCCAGAATGAAACCGTTATTGTTGGTCCCGTCTCGGATGGTGTCTCGTGCAGTGGTTATTATTTCTGTAAGAAAACCTCGGATGGTAGCCGTGATCGCAAACCTGAACATTTCTCCTGCAGCAATGGTCAATTCTTCGATACCCAAACTTTGTCGTGTCGCGATCGTTTGAATGTCAAGTGTGCCTTTGATCGCTGCGAGGGTACCGACAGCAAATATGTCAATGTGGCCGGTAACTGTAAGGCCTATGCCATTTGTGCCAATGGCAAGACCAATGATAAGGGTGCCTGTCCCGATGATTATTTCTTTGATGAACGCACTCAGGGTTGTACTCGCCGTATGATCAGCTATGCTGCCTGTTCGGCTTAAAAGGGAGGGAAATTGTAACAACAGAGAAAAAAAATATTTAGTGTTTTTGTTTGATTGCAAACCACTGTCAGTTAAAAAAATAAAAAAAAAATATTGTAAAAAAATATGAACAAAATTTAATTTATTCGAAAAATTGGCCAATTTTTTTTTTTTAATATCGATAAAATTGTGTACGATTTTTTGGAGTTATTTTTTTAGCTATTGATTTCTTTTGCTCGGTGTCTCATAGTGAAATTTACTTTAGACTATTTTTTCCCGTGGACACCATGCACCTTAATTAAAGTAATGCAGGACAAAGTGGCGCCCAATCAAATGTAGCGGGCAAAATGCCCCAAAATCGAATATAACCAATTTCCATTGCAATTTCCTGGAAACATATGATAGCTGCGAATTTTATTTGGTCGGTGACCCGTAGTGAAATTTAGTGTAGAATATTTTTTCCATTCGCACAATCCCGCTAAAACGTAATTTTGTGCGACAAAATGGCGCCCAATCAAAAATAAAGCACAAATGAGCCAAAAATGTTATTATCCATATTTATGACCTATTTCTTTGAGTTGTATTGTATCTACGGATTTTCGTTGGTCGGGAGCCTAATGCAAAATTTAGTGTAGAATATTTTTTTCATTTACACCATTCCCCTAAAACTTAAATTTGTTTGACAAATTGGCGCCCAAATGAAACTATGGTCGAAATGGCCCAAAAACTGATTATACCCAAATTGTTGGTGATTATTTTTGAAATATATTGATCACACGAATTTTATTTGTTCGGTGACCCATAGTGAAATTTATTGTAGAATATTTTTTTCATTTACACCATCCCCCTAAACCTAAATTTTGTTCGAAAAAATGGCGCCCAATCAAAAATAAAGCACAAAATGAGCCAAAAATGTTATTATCCATATTTTTGAGCTATTTCTTTGAGTTGTATTGAACATACAGATTTTTTTTTGTTCAGCGACCTATAGTGAAATTTCATGTAGAATATTTTTTCCATTGACAACATTCCCCTAAATCTAAATATTGCTGGACAAAATGGCGCCCAAATGAAAATATTGTCAAAATGACCCAAAAACTAATAATTTCCTAATTGTTGGTGATCATTTTTGTAATCTATTGGCCATACGGATTTTAATTGTTTGGAGACCCATAGTGAAATTTAGTGCGAAATATATTTTCCATTGGTACCATACCCCTAACACTTAATTTTGTTGGACAATTTGGCGCCCAATCAAAAGTAGCGGGCAAAATGGCCCAAAATCGAATTTAACGAATTTCCATTGCAATTTCTTGGAAATATATGAACATCACGAAATTTTGTTGTTCGGTCACCCATAGTGAAATTTAGTGTAGAATATTTTTTCCATTGCTACTATCCCGCTAAATCTACATTTTGTTGGACAAAATGGCGCCCAAACAAAAAATAAAGACCAAAATGGTACAAAAATTATAATATCTATATTTTTGCATTATTTCTATGGAATCTATTGCAGATATCGATTTTGAATGGTCGGTGACCTGTAGTGAAATTTTGTGTAGAATATTGGTTCCATTTACACCATCCCCCTTAGACTAAATTTTATTGGACAATTCGGCGCCCAATCAAAAGTAGCGGGCAAAATGACCCAAAATCCAATATAATCAACTTCTTTAGCAATTTTTTTGGAAATATATGATAATCACGAAATTTTGTTGTTCGGTGACCCATAGTGAAATTTTATGTAGAATATTTTTTCCATTGCTACTATCCCGCTAAATCTACATTTTGTTGGACAAAATGGCGCCCAAACAAAAAATAAAGACCAAAATGGTACAAAATTATAATATCTATATTTTTGCATTATTTCTATGGAATCTATTGCATATATCGATTTTGAATGGTCGATGACCTCTAGTAAAATTTTGTGTAGAATATTGGTTCCATTTACACCATCCCCCTTAGACTAAGTTTATTGGACAATTCGGAGCCCAATCAAAAGTAGCGGGCAAAATGACCCAAAATCCAATATAATCAACTTCTTTAGCAATTTTTTTGGAAATATATGATAATCACGAAATTTTGTTGTTCGGTGACCCATAGTGAAATTTAGTGCAGAATATTTTTTTCATTGTCATCATTCCCCTAAAACTACATTTTGTTTGAAAAAATGGCGCCCAATCAAAAACTAAAGACCAAAATGGCCCAAAAAGATAATAATCTCCAGATTTTTGCAATATTTCTTCGAATTCTATTGCACCTAGAGATTTACGATATTCGGTGATCTGTAGTGAAATTTTGTGTAAAATATTTTGTCCATTGACATCAATTATCCAAAATAACGAATTATGGATTAAATTGACCAATTCCCAATATCGGACCCAATATTTTCACCTAACAAAATTTAAATAGATTTTTATGCACATTTTTATAGATTTATTTTTATGGCAACAGATAAATTTTGTTCTGTGACGCATAGTGAAATTTTGTGGAGTATAATTTTTCCTTTCATAACATCCCTCTAATAACACATTTTGCGGGACAATTTGGCGCCCAATCAAAAAAGGCCCAAAATTACCCAAAGAGTTCTATACACATTCTCTATTGGAATTTCATTCAAATATATATAATTCCTAGCGATTTATTTTGTTTTGTGACTCATAGTGACATTTTCTGAAGAATATTTTTTTTAATACGTCATTCAAAAATGCGATGTTTTTTTTTTAATTGGCGCCCGATCAAAAATAGGACCAACATTTTCCAACAAAACCATACACCAATGGCGCCCAATCAAAAATATTAACAAAATGACATAAAAACTGATATACCTAATTTCTATGGCAATTTCATTGAAATATATAACAATTATCGATTTCTGCTGGTCGTTGACCTATAGTGAAATTTTGTGTAGAATATTTTTTCCATTGACACTAGATCTCTAAAATAAAAAAATTCATGATTAATTTGGCCCAAAACGAGAAATAATCAAAATTTCACCCAACAAAAATAAACCACCAATTTACTGTAAATATTCCAAAGTTGTTATTGATATTTCAATGTTAAATATTATAATTGCAGATTTTTATTGGTCGGTGACCCATAGTTGCCATAAACCTCCTAAAATCAGGTCAGGTGTGAAAAAATGGCGCCCAATCAAAAAAAGGCCCAAAATTACCTAAAAAGGTATATACCCAATTCCTAAGGGAATAAATTTCCAAAATTGTTGTTGAATCGTATATGTAGCAGAAATTCTAGCGATTTTAAAATCAGGTCAAGTGCGAAAAAATGGCGCCCAATCAAAAAAAAGGTCCAAAATAACCTTAAAAGGTATATACCCAATTCCAAAGGGAATTTTAATGAAATATGTAGCAGCTAGAGATTTCTGTTGTTCGATGGCCTATAGTAAAATTTTGTAAAGAATATTTTTTTCATTGACATCAGCCCCCTAAAATTACAACTTGTGCGAAAAATTTGGGTCCCATTTAAAATAAACGACCAAATTGACCAAAAAAACAATAAAATTCATTTCTAAGGCAATTTAATTAAAATATGTAATACTTAGCGATATCTGTTGTTCGGGGACCTACAGTGAAATTTTCCGAAGAATATTTTTTCATTGACAGTAGTTCTCTAAATTGAAAAAATTTTGGTTAATTTGGTCGAAAACAGGAAACGATTAAAATTTTACCCTACCAAAATAAATCACAAATTTACAATGAATATTACCAAATCGTTTTCAATGTTTCAAAGCTAAATCTTATATCTGCAGATTTCTGTTATTCGGTGACCCATAATGAAATTCTATGTATAATATTTCCTTCATTGATATCAACCCCCTAAAACAAGGTCAAGTGCGAAAAAATGGCGACCAATCAAAAAAGGTCCAAAATGATCCGAAAAAGGTATTTACCAAATTTCTATGGCAATTTATTTGAAATATGTAATTCCTAGATTTTTCTGTTGGTCGGTGACCCATAGTGGAATTTGATGTAGAATATTTCTTTCATTGATGTCAACTCCCTATAATTAGGTCTTGTGCGAAAAATTGGCGCCCAATCAAAAAAAGGCCCAAAATGACCCCAAAAAGGTAGGTATACCCAATTCCTAATGGAATTTTAATGAAATATGTAGCAGATAGCGATTTCTGTATAGTAAAATTTTTTGAGGAATATTGTTTTCATTGACATCAGCCCCCAAAAATTACAAATTGTGCGAAAAATTGAGTCCCATTTAAATTTATAGTACAAATTGACCCAAAAAGGTATATACCCAATTTCTAAGTCAATTTAATTGAAATATATAGCAGTTAGCGAATTTTGTTGTTCGGTGACCTACAGTGAAATTTTGTGTAGAATATTTTTTTCATTGAGAGTAGACTTCTAAAATGAAAAATATTTGGTTAATTTGGCCTGAAACTAGAAATGATCTAAATTTCACCACACCAAAATAAATCACCAATTTACTGTAAATAATCCAAAATTTTTATTGATATTTCAAAGCTAAATCTTATATCTACAGATTTCTGTTATTCAGTGGCCCCTACTGAAATTTGATGCAGATTATTCCTTTCATTAACGTCAACCCCCTAAAATCAGGTCACGTGCGAAAAAAATGGCGCCCAATCAAAAAAGGTGCAAAATTAACCCGACAAATTATATACCCAATTTCTAAGGGAATTTTAATGAAATATATAAATCTTAGATATTTTTGATGTTCAAAATGGCCCCAAAAAGGTATATACCCAATTTCTATGTAAATTTCATTGAAATTCATAATTACTAGCGATTTATGTTGTTCGGTGAAGAATATTTTTTTTCATTGACAGTAGTTCTCTAAATTGAAAAAATTTTGGTTAATTTGGTCGAAAACAAAAAAAAAACCATCAAAATGTCACCCTACCAAAATAAATCACCAATTTATACTATGAATATTCCCAAACCTTTCGAAGCTAAATCTAAATCTACAGATTTCTGTTATTCGATGACCCCTACTGAAATTCGATGTAGAATATTTCTTCCACT